ACTTAAGCACCCCTAAGCTCAACCTTCAGTGCTACTCCCCTTGCTGAGTAGCCCGGTACGCAATAAACTTTGAGAATTTTTTCTACCTCTTTGAACTGAAAGCTTTCAAAAAGAACAAACAAAACTTTTTTTTTCTTTTCCTCCAAATTCTTTGTGTGTGTGTACCATCAAGTCGGATCTGACTGGTACAGGAGGAGATTGCCCCTCCTCCAGCAGAGCATCTGGTGGAGTTGAACCACATACCTCTGGGGTTGCAGTGCAGCTTCTTCCCACTAGACCATCAGAGTTCCCTAATAAAAATTTCTTGGAAGAAGGGAAACCAGGGTTCTTCTCAGAGACAGTGATACTGAGACTTTGCCTATCATACTTTAAGCATCAGGAGAGGTTAGTCTCTTGAAAAGGGCATCAAGGCTGGAAAAGTGGAGAGTCAGAGTGTGACAGGAAGACAATTAAAAGAGATGGATTGACAGAGTGAGTGCAAAATGGGCTTAATTAAGCACCATAGAGATTGTGAGGATGGCATAATCTGGTCAAATTTTCAGTTTGTTGTATGTCAGAGTCAACTCAATGACACCTACCAAAACCAATAGCAATTATTTTACTATTTATATGACTCAACGGGAAGACTCAATAAAAGGATTGATAAGAGGCTCACGTGTGTTGGACATAGTGAAGACAGCACAAGATAGGGCAAGGTTTGTATCTTTTGTTCAGTGGGTTGCTGTGAGTCACATTAGAGTCGATGGCACATTATTAAGAAAAGCAAATAGTAGGAGCTCAAAAAATACTACATGGTGGTTTTGTTGTCAAGCAATTTTGTTAGCTTTTCAGAAGTTATTTTCATCTTTTTAAGGATGAAGGGCTTGTAGTAGAACACATTTAAGTAAATTGCTCAAGGAAAATAGAGCCTAGAATGGAGTCCAAACAAATTTGTCGGTTGGGTTGATACTGTTAGCCACTCCATTGCTAGTGTTAGTAGGATAAACAGTTTATTCACATGTTTCTTTTTCTCACTATTTCCTGATTTTTAAAAAAGTCGTATTTGTTAAAAAATGACATTGTTGGCCATTCACACTCCTGTATTGCCTGCCTCTTACACAGTTTTGGAGCTCTCATGGTTTATTGGTTGCTTAGTGCTGAGCTCCTATCCAAAAGACCCACAGTTCAAATTTACCAGTAGCTCCACGGGAGAAAGATGGGCAGTTTCTGCTCATAAATACAACCTTAGAAAACCTGATGGAGGGTTGCTATGGGTTTGGTTATGTACTCTTTGACTCTGCAGATCTAGAGACTATTATGTTTCTATCTTGGAAGTGTACCACTCTTCTGTCAGTTTGTACTGTGGTGACTTTCTGATATGAAAATTATTGCTGTGATACTGAAAATTATGCCACTAATATTTAGAATTTCTGACTAAGACAGTAAGAAAGACTTAAGAAGAAAGTCCTGGCAATCCTCTTGTGAAAAAAAAAGTCAACAAAAATCTCAGGAATAGCAGTGGAACACTGATATAGTTCTGAATCTATTCACCATAATGGAGACCTTTGAGGACCTTCATTTGCTGATGTGGCACTTCTCAAAATTAGAAGAAACTTGAAGAAAACTAGAATGTGGAATGTTTTCTAAGAAAATTGAAAATTATCAAAGTAACACAGAACTCTTGAAGATTAACATCCTTGACACTGGTGAACTCAGACTTATTAGGTGTCATCGAGTCAGTTCCAATACAGAATGAAACACTGTTCAGTCCTCCACTATCCTTACAATTCTTGTGTTTAAGCCCATTTTTACAGTCACTTTGTTAATCCATGTAGTTGGAGGCCTTCCTTTTATTTTATTGACCTTTTTCTATTTTACCCCATTTGAGTTTGTTTTTCAGTTCTTTCAGCTTGAGAAATGCTGAACTAGTTCTTCCCTTCCCCTCCCCCCTTTCAATTCTAGGCCTCTGCTTATTTTGGTATAGTTAGCTTTGTCTTTTTTTTTTTTAAATTAATTAGTTTTAATTAAAGTTTATAGAGATTTTGGATTTCCATTCATTCATTGTTGCAATTGTTTTCCCTGCCTAACCTCCCCCATAGTTCACTCTTCTCTTTGAAAAGTAAAATTCTTTCGTTGTTATATAGTCTCTTCTCCCAAGTCCACTCCACTATTCAGCCTTCGTTCTGGGCTGCTGTCATGACAATAAGACCTAATTCTATGTCTCTTTTTGAGTTGCCTTTTGAAATCTGCTGTTCAGCTCTTACACGTCAGCATCTCTTCCCTTTGTTTTGACTTCTTGGCATACTAGAGCTATTTTCAGGGTCTTTTCTGACATCTGTTTTGTTTTTTTTCTTTCTTCTCTGTTTTTGTAGTGATTTTTCCTTTTTTCATAGATGATATCCTTCATGTTATCCCACAACTCCTCTGATCTCTGATCATTGGTGTTCAGTGCTTCAAATCTATTCTTAGGACGATTTTTCAAATCAGGTGGGATACACTCAAGATCATCTTTTGGTTCTTGTGGACTTGTTTTACTCTTCTTCAGCTTCAATTTGAACTTGCACATGAGTGATGATCTGTTCCATAGTCAGCACTTGGCTTGGTTTTGATGGCTGATAATTGAGATTCTCCAAAGATTTCTTTTCACATATGTAGTCATTCTGATTCCAGGAATGAAGTTCTGATACATACTATTACATGGATTGACCTTGAAAACACCATGCTCAGTGAAATGATTCAGACACAAAATGAAAATAATTTCATTATTTTATTTACATGCAGTGTCTAGATAAGACAAATTCATAAAGACAGATTAGTTATTAGTTACCATGCACTGGAGTGGGTAGGAAATGAGAAAGTATTCTTTAAATGTATACAAAATTTCTTGTTAGGGCGATGAAAAAGTTTTGGAAAAAATACCAATGATGAAAAAAAACCCAACCAATGATGACTATACAACATTGTGACTATGATGGTGGTGTAGTCCATAGAAAGTTGTGCTTCCCACACAACAATGGAGCCTCTTTATCAGTTTAAACTCACCCATGGCTCTTCAGGAGAAAAATGTGTGATATTTTCTCATGTAATTTACTACCCCTGAAAACCTGATGGAGGCTTAGCTATGAGTTGGTTCTGATGGAGGGTTTGCTATGAGTTGGTTCCAACTCCATGGCAAATTTTTTTCTAAGATGTAAATTTTATGTTATTCTCAGAATCTTTCATCAGTTGATTCCATATTGCCTATAAGTGAAAACTCTGGCTTAGTATACAAATCTTTTTCATTGTTTGAATTCTTTGAGATTTCTAGCCACACCAACCAAAACTTGATCTCCTCTTCTTTGTTTCACTGCTTCAATTATATTGCTTTAGTTTCTCTGAAAAATAGCATCCTCTTTCATGTTTCTGTGTCTTAATGCATGTAAAACCTTTTACCTGTAGCCTTTATCTATCCTCTGCAAATTTATCGTAAAAAAATCCAGTTCATATACCCATTTTCTTTTTTAATGTCTTCTCAATGTTTTAGTAAAGTTGTTTCCTTCTCTCTGTATCTTGTAAATTCCTATAACATTTATCACTTTATATTGTATAACTAGTCCTCAATTTATGATTTATTAGAATTATGATGAAGACCATTGTTTTTTAGACATCTTATATTTAGTAATATATACAGCTGTTCATAGAGTATGGCCACCTGTAACTTGCAGCTGCTATTTTCACATATTCACTTGCAGATGTTAATCTTTTATTATTTAATTATCAAAACACTGTTAGATTGATTTAGTTTTCTAAAATAAATTGGGAAACTCTAGTGGATTTAATCCATGTGGTTAATCATTCAAGTCCACCAGCTGCTCCAATAGAGAAAAATAGGCAGTCTCATCTTGTGCAATTTGTGACCTCTGAAAACCCATTGCCATGGTCATCTATGAGTCAGTTCTGAATTGACAGCACATAATAACAAAGTAAAGCAGAGTTTTCAGTTGCTTCAGAACATGGACTCAAATGCTGATCACTTTGTTCAAGTGATTCAGAAGTAGCAGTCAGATTCCCTAAGTAAGTAGAAGAATGTTACCATGAAATACATGATTTTTTTTTAAAAACAGTGATATATAGACAACTATTATTCTCACTAATTTTTTTGTCTAGAAATCCCACCCCTTTTTCCAGGGATAATCCAGGTCCTCCCAAAAGTAGTTTTTACTTCAACTGGCAAAATGCCTACATGGCCCAACTCTTCATCAGTGGAGCAAATCCTTATGATTTCTGTATTGTTGACAAGACAGCAGTAGGTTTTGGGTTTTATGTATATTTTCAAATATAGCTGGAAATTTACATGTGTGCTTCCAGCCTGATAAACAAGCAAAGACTGGATTTCTAAAGATTCTAGTAGAGGGGTAAGGACGGGGGTGGGGTGGGCCTTAATAGTAGGGTTGCACAAATTGACGAGTGGAGGGAAAGGTGGGTAAAAGAAAGGGGAAAGATCCAGTGTGGAAAAAAAATGTATACAAACTTTATAAGTAAACCAGTATAAAGTAAAATTTTTATTTAAGTAATATGGAAAAAGACATAAAACTACAAAATGGAAAAAAGGGAGATATTTGACTTATAGGAATGATTTATGACTGAGTTGGTGACTACTTATAATTCTTAAGTAAATCTTTTGAGATGCTAATCAGCTTGATAATTGAGGATCTTTTACCTCAGAAGATTCATATTAAATTGATAATGAAAATACCCTATTTCTGGTTGTTTAGTTCATTTAGTTCCCTCTTAAGATCCAAGATCATACATTCCAACTCTGTGTGGCATTTCCATGTTGGATCATTTTACAAAGAAGCCAGGGTAACTAGACCTTGATAGACCAGTAATATTATCTTGGTATATGCAACATGGAAAACTGTAAGTTTCCAATTAGACTTTGGAAACTGTTAAAAAGCATATCTTGCAAAAAAAACCAAAAAAACAACATCTTGCTTGTATAAAATATATTGACTTTTCTGTTTGACGTGTTTCTGTTAAAGGAACTTAAAAAAGTAACTTCAGACTTAATAAAATCCAAGGTCACATGTCAGTATAACATGGGAGAAGAAAGCATCAGTCTGACAGTTATGCAACAAAAACTTCAGGAACTTCAAGAACGACTCAATATGGTATTTTGTCAAATGTGTTCATTTTTATTAGTGTTTCAGAAAATGTCATGTATATGGAAGTATTACTTTTTAACAATTCTAATTGTTTAATAACAATTAACAAAGAAGTTAGTACATGTTAAAGATATAACTGTTTTTTTGAAAATATTAGATAACATTTTCCCATAAGAAAACATTGTTGAGTCTCTTATAATACAACATTTTAAATAATATAATGAAACATCACTAGAGAATCATAGACAAAAATAGTTGATTAAAAATTCTGACTTATTTGGAGAGAAGTTAATGCTTCACAGTGACATTTGGCATCTAGTTTTGGCCACGATTTAAACTGTGTTTTTGGTTTTTTTTAAAAAATGATTTGAATTAATTGACACATGAGGCAAGTGTATCAATTTTGTTGATTTTGGAAATAAAGTTGAAAGGAATGAATAATAAGAATTAAAGAGTCTAATTCATCAAAGGCTAGAGCACTAGGCTAAAGGTAACAAGAATGAATGTAATTGCAATTTTCTTAGTTCAATGTGAAACACAATGTATACAAACTTTGTAAGCAAACCAACATAAAATAATTTTTTTTTAAAAAAAAGATGATGTTGCGTACCATAGAGTCAGAACCCGATCTGTAGCTAACCTTCCATCAGTTTTTCAGAGGCAGTTAATTGCACAGGTGGAAATTGCCCATCCTTCACCAGTGTAGCAGCTGGTGGCCTTGAAAATTTGGTCATAATCATTTAAGTCCACTTTACTGTGATATTATAATGGTGTCTACAGAACACTTTTTTAAAAAAGAATTTATTTTATTGTATTTTGTGTGTGTACCATCAAATCAGGTCTGACTGGTACAGGAGGAGATTGCCCCTCCTTTTCCAACAGAGCATCTGGTGGATTTGAACTTTGTGCCTCTGGGATTGCAGTGCAGCTTCTTGCCACTAGGCCACCAGAGCTTCCTTAGAACACTTTTATTAACATTTAAAGGTTTTTACCAGCTTTTGCTGGGAATCTAATGCCTTCAGTTCACTGCTTTGACTACCTACAAATGTAGATACTCGAGTGAAAACAGATTGTTGTTGCTATTGTGTGCCATCGAGTCTGAGCTGACTCAGAGCTGACCCTCCAGCAGATTTTCAGAGGCAGTTTAATTTCACAAGAGGTGATTACCCATCCTTCTTCTGTGAATAAATAGATTATGTCATTCCAAATGTGCCATTGAATGTAGAATTTGCAGAATTTTATAGCTTAACTTTAAAATTATTCCATTTTTAAAGGAAGTAGAATTAAATAAGAAGATTAATGAAGAGATTACCCATATTCAAGAAGAAAAACAGGTAAGTGGTTATAGTCTAGAAGCCACTAACTGTTTTGAAAATTAGCTAGTGTGGAGAATAAACAAATAACAAATGGAATTATATCCAGGTCAATGCACATCACAGTAAGCACTCAGTGAATGTGCAATGATTGGACACATTTCCCTTTCTAACCAGGTCTCACATAGACATACTTCAATTAAAAAGAAATTAATTTATTCCTTGATAGTATTGCCCTAACAGATAAATATTAAAATGTGTGCATGTTTAATACATAATTGTTGAGGCCATTATACTTTCATTTGAATTGATTTAATAGATATAATTTCTTCTATAAAAAGGAAAAAGATATGTGAAAGAAAATGTTTCCTTTTTCTATTTCTTTTTTTATTTTTTCCTCCATTTGATTCCAAATACATGGAATGACCTCCTGGCCCATTTTCATTTTGGCATTATAGTAATGATATTTACTGGGGAAGCCAACAACATTTTATTTTTGTTTTAATTCTTCTGATTTTAAGTACTGAGTCAAGATCTGGATTTCATGCATAAAAACTTGGTCAATTTTTGAAGGATGAGCAGTCTCCTCCCATACAATTAACTGCCTCTGAAAACCCACCAGAGGGTCAGCTATGGGTTGGTTTCAACTCGATAGTGTATAACAACAAATAATACTTTGTAGGAAATAATAAAATATAAATGACTTTATATATGAAGTCAGTAAAGTGTAACAATATTGAAATTAAATTATTAAAGTGTTAAAATGGAAACCTGTATAAGATAGAGACATGTCAGGGTAGGAAATCGGAAGTATTTTTCACTAAAGAGAGCAACAGGAAAGGGAAAACAGTAACTACCTGTCAGAGGCAGAAAGCTTGTGAGATCCAGAAAAAAAGGCAGTTCTGTGGAATTGTAGTTCTCATACTTTTAATTTTATAAAGGACATTAGATAGGGAAGTAAAAAATGTATTTGAAGAATGGATTCAGAAATATATTTACTGCAAACATTTTCAACTGATACATATTTATTTCTTTCCCCCCAAGAATGTCGTAATTTCTTTTCAGCATACTCAGCAGTTACTTCAACAGCAGACTCAAGTAAATACTGAAATGAAAGCAGAATTGAAGGTGGTTAAAGAAAAGAATCAGGTTATATATTTTTCAGTATATTTCCATTTAATGAGTTTTGCCTCTTTAGTTGTATTCATATGACCAGATATTTCAGCACTGTTTTCAATTTTAGGAGTAACATATTGATTGCCTTCATTAAATTGACATCAATGTCTAAAGTAATGAAAATAATTTTTTCTCAATAGTTAAATCACTAATTAAATATTAACTTTTATTAAGAGTATCTAGTTTGATTTTGGGGCAAGATAAATGAGATTTCTCCCCCCCCTTTGATTTGAATTGTGCTCAACTTAAAATGAAAGGAAAGATAAGTATCACCACATTCTGAAAGAAAAATTGGTGAATTTGTACAAATAGGGATATTATTTTTGCCAGTGTGTTCAAGGCAGCTTGGATTTTTTCTTGGAGTACCATTGGTTCTTTTTCTTTTTACCATTGGTTTTTGATCATATATGGAACAGATCATCAATTACTCATATGCTAATTCAAATTGAAATTGAAGAAAATAGAAACAAGTCTAGGAAAGCCAAAATACAACCTTGAAATTTTATCATCTGAGTTAAAAAAAAAACAAATAACCAACAACTTGAAATTAGATTTGATGTGTTGAACACTAATCACTGAAAACCAGAGTAGTTGTAGGATCACACTGAAGAAAGCAAAAGGTCATCACAAAAACAAAGGAAAGAAGAAAACCAAAGTGGATGTTAGAAGAGACTCTGAAACTTGCTCTTCAAAGACACCAAAACAAAGAGAAGACATGAAGTAAGAGGTGAACAGAAGATCTCAAAGAGCAAGTCAAGAAAGAAGGAAGGGGTGGGGGGAAGTATGGTAATGAAACATGCAAAGACCTGGATGTAGAAAATCAAAAGGTTAAAAACATGCTTGACATTTCTCAAGAGAACTGAAGGGGGAAAAAAGTCAAAGCTTGAGTTACAATACTGAAAGATTTCGTGGGCAAGATATTGAATGATGCAGGAAGCATCAAAAGAAGATTGAAATTACTACATACCTTGGGAGGGATTGGATAGCATTATGGTAAATGAATTAACTTAGTCACTTAAGGACAGATACTAGTAAAACATGTATGAGGATCCACCCAGGGGGAGAGTAGGAACAGAGAGGTAAGAATAGGCAGAGGGGAAATCATAGGATCGCACAGTTTGGTGGAGGGAGGGAGGGGACTAAAGGAAATGAGAAAGATCCTAATAGGGATCTGGAAAGATACAGTAATGGGTGGCATAATTCAATATTGATGAATTTTGTAAAACATAATGAATGGGAAAGAATATATGAAACACTGTGTGAATGAAGGATAGTGTGTAACCCCTAGCATATAAACTTTGTAAGCAAACCAATATAAAAGAAAAATGAGAAAAAAAAAAATTGAAGGAATTCATAGAGTCATTGTACCAAAAAGAATTGCTCAACAATAAAACATTTCAGGAAGTAATATTTTTGCACTGAGCCCTCACAAATTACGGCTTTGGCAGTGGCCACCAACCATGAATGGAACTAAACTTAACCTAAGCAAAAAAGATTTATCTCTTTTAAAAATGTCATATTTTGGTTCCCGTGGATTTGATTTTTCTTAGCATCAGCTTGAATTTGCATATGAGTAGTTGGTGGTCTGGTCCACAGTCAGCATCTGGCCTAGTTTTCACAGCTGATACTGAGTTTCTCTAGCAGTTCTTTCCACAGATGTAATTGATCTGATTCCTATGCATACCATCAGGTGAAATCCAGTGTATACCCTGCATTTATGTTTCTTATAAAATGTATTTGAAATTCAGTTTGTCCCCAGCTTCATTTCTGTCCCCATATCCATGTTTTCCAACTACTCATCCTACCTCTCTGTTCCCAACTTTTGTATTCCAGTCACCCATTATTATTAATGCATCTTGATTGCATGTTTGATCGATCTCTGACTGCAAAAGTTGGTAGAAACCTTCTATTTCCTCTTCTTTGGCTCTGGTTGTTGGTACATATATCTGAAAGATAGTGGTATTCACTGGACTTCCTTGTATACATATGGATATTATCCTGTCACTCACAATATTGTATTTCAAGACACATCTAGAAATGACTTTTTTAACTATGAAAGCAACCCCATTTTTCCTCACCATGGGAATCAAACTATGACCTTGAGTCTGTCCCACCTGAATTTCAAAACCATCTCAGGAACAGGTTTGAGACATTGAACACCAATGAGTGAAGACCAGATGAGTTGTAGGAGGATATCAAGAATATCATACAGGAAGAGTGCAAAAGATCATTACAAAGACAGAGGAGGAAGAAAAGACCAAAAATGGATATCAGAAGAGACTCTGAATATTGCATTAGAGCACCGAAAAGGCAAATCAGAGGGAAGAAATCAAGATATTAAAGAGCTGAACAGAATATTTCAAAAGGCAGCATGGGAAGACACAGTAAAGTATTACAATGAAATGTGCAAGAAGCTGGAGTCAGAAAATCAGAAGGGCCAAACTCACTCAGCATTTCTTAAGCTGAAGGAACTGAAGAACAAATTCAAACCTCAAGTTGCAATATTTAAGGATGCTCTGGGTAAAATATTAAATGATCCAGGAAGTATTAAAAGAAGATGGAAAGAGTATATACAGAGTCATTGTACTGAAAGGAATTTGCAGACACAGAGAATTTCATGAAACAACATAAGCAAGAGCCTGTGGTGATGAGGGAAGAAGTTCAAGCTGCTTTGAAAGAATTGGCAAAAAATAAGGCCCCAAGAATTGACGGTATACCAATTGACGTATTTCAGCTAACAGGTGCTGCCCTAGATGTGCTCACCAAGTTGTGTCAAGAAATCTGGAGGACAACCTCTTGGCCAACTGACTGGAAGAGATCGATATTTGTTCCCACTCCAAAGAAAGGCGATCCAACAGAGTGTTGAAATTATCAAACAATATCATTAATATCATATGCAAGCAAGATTCTGCTGAAAATGATCTAAAGAAATGACTGGAACAGCAGATCAACAGAGAACTGCCAGAAGTGTAGGCTGCATTTAGAAGGGGTCATGGTACTAGGTATACTGTAGCTAATGTTAGGTGAATCTTGGCTGAAAGCAGGGAGTACCAGAGGAGTATCTATCTGTGTTTCATTGATTATGCGTTTGACTGTGTGGATCACAACAAACTGTGGCTGACTCTTAGAAGAATGGGAATCCCAGAACACTTGATTGTGCTAATACGAAAACTATACATGGACCAGAAGGCAGTCATCAGAACAGAGCAAGGAAATAATGCATGGTTCAAAATTGGGACGGGTCTATGCTAGGGATGTGTCTTTTCTCCATACCTTTTCAACCTATATGCAGAACACATTATCCAGGAGGCTGAGCTGTATCACAAGAAGTGTGGCATCAGGATTGGAGGAAGATCCATCAACAGTCTGTGTTATGCAGGTGATACAACCCTTCTTGCTGAAACTGAGGAGGACTTGAAGCACTTGCTGCAGAAGGTCAAAGACTGCATCCTTCAGTATGGATTGAGGCTCAATAGCAAGAAAACAAAGATTTTCACCACTGGGCCAATTGGCAGCATCACAATAGATGAAGAGATTGAAATTGTTCACAGCTTTAGTTTGTTTGGCTCCACAATCAACCCTCTTGGCACCAGCAGCCAGGAAATTAAAAGACATATGGCAAAGGGAAAGTCTGCGGTTAGAGATCTCTCCAAGTATTGAAGAACAATAATGTAACTTTGGAGACTAAGGTGCGCCTGATAATAGGCCATGGTCTTCGCAGTCACTTGCTATGCATTAGAGAGCTAGACAATGACTAGGGAGGATAGAAGGAGAATTGATGCCATTGAGCTGTGGTTTTGGAGAAGAGTATTGAATATACCATGGACTGCAAAAAATCCCGAACAGGTTTATCCTGGAGAGGGTCAAACCAGTCTGCTCCCTGGAAGCAAGGATTCTGAAGCTTTGTCTGACATACTTTGGACATGTTGCAAGGCAAGATCAGTCCTTGGAGAGGGATTTCATGCTTGGGAAGGTGGAGGGACAGCTCAGGAGAGGAAGACCCGCTATGAGGTGGATTGATTTAGTGACTGGGGTAATTGGGGTAGATGTGTCGGAGACAGTGAAATTGGCACAGGATAGAGCAGGGTTTAGGGCTGTTGTACATAGCGTTGCTATGAGTTGCAGGCAACTCGATGATACATAACAACAATACTATATATGTGGGTATAGTCAGTCATGAAAAGAGCGTTTTGATGACCTTATTTCTCTTGTTTTGATGACCTTATTTCTCTTGTCTCTTGCCTGTACTTTAAGAGCTTTGCAGTCCTTATCTTGAGGTGAGGAGGTGTGCCATTCTTTCCCCTTAACTTCTTTATGTACTCCAATGAATAAACTACTTTTTTTAAAAAAGAAACAAATCAATCAATTCTCTGAAGGATCATTTGATAAGCAAGTATAGCAGACTTCCTCCTCTTATTGTTGTTGTTGAACTGACCCATAGCTGACCCTCTGGTGGATTTTCAGAGGCAGAAGAGATTGATTGCCCATTCTTCTCCCTCAGAGAAGCTGGTGGATTTGAACTGCGTGCCTTTGGGATTGCAGTGCAGCTTCTTACAAGTAGGCCATCATAGCTCCCCTCTCATATTAAAGATATTGTTATTGTTATGTGTCTAACTAAGTCTTGTACAAGATTCTGTATGCAACAGAACAAAATGCCACCCCACCCAGTACTTCATCATCCTCAAAATCTCTAGTGTGCCTTTCCCCCCCCCTTTAAAAAAAGGCCATATTGTATGTACTATGTCAATCCTTCTCATTGAAGTTGTTCTTTTTTCATTGATGGTCACTTTACCAAGCACATCTTCAGGGACATGCTTGATAGATAACATGGTTTTCAATTAGTATTAGCCACCAGGGATCTTTTTGATAGTAGAAGGCTAAGCTGAATTTTATGAAGTAAATTTTCAAAATATTATCAAGAACAAGACAGAATTGTTAGGTTTTGTTTTATAAGATCATTAAAAATAAACAAT